AAAAAAAAAAAAGAAAAAAAAAACCATCCCCAACAATAAAAGCCTCAAAATATAATAGTTAAAAGGAAAGAAAGAGATGGGTAAGGGAAGGTGGTTTTAAACTCAACTGAAGTTGTTGGAATTTGCTTTGCGTGCTTATTTATGTTTTCATAAATGCATGGGAATCAATTGCACTCGATAACAGTAAAAGCTCCATTCTTTTTCATCAGGTTCAACCATCGTATACCATCAATGAGAACTATCAATTCTTTCTATCTTGTGTTATTCACTTAAACAATAGTAATGTGACAATAAATTCTAATCAACTGTTACGAATTTATAGTTTGCACCAGCAGATCACGTAACTCAACATAACGTGTTATTTGAAGGGTGAAGGGTCTCTTTCATTATGGAAATGTTAATATTTTAATTATCTTTATGAAAGAAAAACTAGTTTGTGCTCAAGTTTTATTGCATTCCTTGGCAGGTTAACATTTTCCAAGGTATCACTTTGCCTGATGCTCCAAAATTTGGAAAAGTGTTTGGAGGACAGTTTATTGGACAAGTATGGTTTGCGTTTCTTTTTAAGCATTTCTTTATTTAGCTCAGCATGACCAGGCTGAGTGTTGTCATTTTCTTGTCCTTTTTTCTTATTTTCTCTTATGGTACATTCCTATTAGTTAGGATTTTAATTTTGACAATCCATAATGGCTAATGATTCAGGCACTTGCTGCAGCATCAAAAACTGTCGATTGTCTTAAGATTGTTCACAGTTTGCATGCTTACTTCCTTCTTATTGGGGATTTTAACTGTAAGTATCCTCTTTGTCAACTTTTGTAATGCTTATAGCCATCAGTTCTCTTAAAATCTAAAACATGTTACTTGTAGTGATGATGTATACCACGAGATTATTAGTGACTGCAAAGTATATAACAGATTTGTATTTTATTGCATTGCATGATATGTTATTTGGTCAAATAGTTGATCCATGCACACTCGTGATTCTTTTCATAGCTTGACCAGTGATTTATATATAAATTGGCATCTTTGACTAATCTACGACACATTTGTTTACTCAAGAGTGTCTATACTCTTTTAGCTCAAGTGCTTAGTAGTTGATGGAATCACAAAACCCTCCTTAACCAGTTCCTCCAGATTATGGATTGTAAATAACTGATTTGACAGTGACACTGTATATTTTCATTATCAATGGCTATGGATTATAGTTGATGGAATCACAAGACCCTCCTTAACCATTACTAAATTACAGATTTGACACTGTATATGTTCATTATCAATGATTCCCTGGCAAAGTAAGAAAGAATATTTTGTAGTTAAAGTTATTGGGACTACCAGTTTTGCTTTACCATTGTGCTAATATATTTTACGAGAAATTCAATCCACGTCTAACATGCATTTATTTATTTATTTTTATGATGCAAAAGCTCTTAAACATGAAATCATAACTGATTTACAGTGCCAATTATATATCAAGTGCACCGCGTACGCGATGGGAAAAGCTTTGCTACCAGAAGGGTAGAGGCAATACAAAATGGGAACATTGTATTTACCTTGCTTGCTTCATTTCAGGTAGTGCTGGAAATTTAAAAGCAGAACTGACTCAACTTTCTGGCATCTTTACGAGTCACATTTATATCTTGCACTACAAATTAATAGGCTCAAGTGAAATCCCAAGCAGTTGCAGAGGCTATGATCTTTCTGTATTTTATTCCTGGTCACATGTATACAATATTCTAATACCCTTTCTTGTGTTATATGAAAATAAAATGAGAAGGGAAATATATAGAGTAAATTGTCAACCACAGAAAGCTTATGGAAATTTTGTAAAATGCCGTCCCGGACTTTTCTGTGTTAACTAATAGGTGTATAAATCAAGTAGTTGTGTCCCAAAATTTTTATTTTTTGGACATGAAATGAGCTGTGGTGATGTTGAAAATACGTGCACGTGCATCTTTTGTAGCTCTGATATTGTAGTTTCAAAGAGATTATAGGTTAAAGAATCTTTGTTTGATTAATTTAATTACTCATTTTGTATTTATGTATCATACTGAGATTAGGGGCTGGCCTGGATGCATGGGTAGATGTCAGTTCAAGTAATCATATTTTCCTTCCTAGCCTAGTGATCTTTAAATGAATTCTGTAAATAGTAGTTGTAGAGGCAAAGTGGCCAAAAAGGATTCATGTAAATGTCCCAAATTTATTAAGAATAAGGCTCAGTCTGCTGTTGTTATGGTTGTTACCTCTACCATTTCATAAATTTGACTGGTTTCTTGTTTTATCTTTTGCAACATGCTCATCTCGTCATTTAGTGTTTGTTTCCATATTGTTTTATGATTCAATTGATGGCCTGCTATACTTAATAAAGACATGGAATCAGATAATTAGGCTGTTAAATAATTAATGTTTAATACTAACACTTGGAGTTTGCCGAGATTGAAAATGTGGTAGAGTTTCTGATATAATTTCCCACTGATGCATTCTATTATGTCTTTTTTGTGTCCTTGTTCTCCTTCCACCTCATAGGTGAATGCTGGAAAATTATAGAAACTGCATCTAACATTTGATTCAAATTCACAGAAAGAGGAAGGCGGATTCAATCACCAGGTGGCAGCAATGCCTTCCGTACCTAATCCAGAAGAGGTAGCCAACACGTAGTTGTATTATTTCCTATAATGGGTTGTTTCTGCAGTAGGTTATTTGAATTTTTTATTTCTTCAGCTTTTATCTATGGAAGAATTGCGAGAAAGGCGTATCATTGATCCTCTGCTCCCCAGGTTAGGCTCTAATCTTTTTCTATAGCGTGGAAATGCATTGGTTATATTGATTTTCAAGGGATAATTTTGTTATTTCCATACCCCCTCATCATATCATACTTTTCGGTTTTTGCTTTTTTTTTGATAGATAATCAGGA